AGAGAGAGAGAGAGAGAGATTGACGATTGATATATTTACGCTTTGATTTTTTTCTTCACTACGCTATTCACCGTGCGGCTGTCGTTGCATGAACGTCGATCGCGATTAAAAGGTGAAAATTGACAAGTGGGACAAGTCTGCGAGAAAAAGAGAGATAGTGAAAAATTGCTAGAGAGATCGTTTTTAGATCGGCTCATACCGGCTCGACGGCTTGCCCTCTCACAGAGTGGTAAGAACGTGAAACGTGAAAACGTGATCGTGAAAAACGAAGGGGGACAGCTCACGGGCCCCTGGTCCGTTTGGAATATTTACCGCACTCTTTACCTGCGGTCCCCATATTGAGAATGCTGATCTCCCCGAAGTAGGAACCCGCCTTAAGGGTGGCGAGCACCGTCTTCCCGTTGTCGGCCACCACCTGCAGTCGGCCCCTATTCACTATGTACATCTCCTTTCCCACCTCACCTGCAAGCACGCAAATATCACACCCAAATAATTAAATTGGAAATAAACGCGATCATGTGAATAAAATCTTTATTCCTCTGTTTTTACTTTAATTAAAGCGTATCTCAGGATTTTTTATAATAATACTAGCATATAAAAAAATAGTACAAGTCGTATTTCTTTCATTTTCAAAAAGTTTTTTGTGAATGTACTTAACATAAAATCCAACTTTTCTTAGGTAATATCTTTTTATAAATCTATAAAAATAATCAACTAGGACGGCGCCATTGGTTGGGATGCAACAGTCGGTGTGCTTCGAGGTATACGACGAGAGTTAGTGCTTCTACGTAGTGTAACAACGCTCGTATCGTTTTACTGATGTGACTTCCGCCACTACTAAACATTACGCATCATCCGGTGGAGGAACGAGAATAACGAGAAAATGGAATAGAAATAAGAATTAATTAACTTTTAGCAATACGTATGTGATTCGCTTTTCATGCTCTTTTTTAGAAAGCAACACAGAGAAAAAAATAAAATACGGTTAAAATTAATTGACGCCGGTGGAATCGCGCTTAATAAGATAGTATCTGCGCGCAACAGAACACGCGAGGGGAACGGCCGTAGTTTGTACGCGGCGAGTAGTAACTCTAAGTCATAATTCCGACTGTAATCGCGCAACGCGATGCAGCGGCGGAAATGACGCGAAGCGAAGTCACCCATCAAAGTAGAGGCATTGCCCGTGGAGAAAATGACCGCGGCATTCCTGAACGCACGCGACGGTCGTTTCGCCGGCAATGAAGAGCAACTCCCATCGAGACGGAGCAAAGTGGATGGGAAGACAGGCAGCTTGTAGGAAAATGACTCGGTTTCTCGGTCTTCGCACCTTAGACGAGCTGAGAAATTACTCGTCTAAATGTTTATGCTTTAAAAATATAAATACTACAGAAGCACGCCGAAGGAAGCGGAAAACAATACGTTTTTTATTTGCTTATGACCTACTTTTTGATGCGCAATATAAATATTCGAAGGGAAACATCAAAGCTATTTTTTTAACAAACTTCAAGATTTCTTTATATCAATGAAATCGATTTTTGGAAAATAATTATTATTAAAATAATCGCTGTGATAATTGTGATAGCTTCACAAAACAAATGGTAAAAAATTTCCGTTTTGTAATATAAAATTAAGATAAAATAAAAAATTACATTTATGGCGTAATTAGAAATTTGAATTGATATGTTCGTCAGTTTTATAAAAGTGTCAAATTTTCCTAAAAAAACTAGAATTTCGGAAACTATAGAAAATCATTGAAACATCGTGAGAATTTACGTGCCGATTCCCAATGCTGGTGAGCTATACCAAAGTACGCAAATACGCGCTTCCTTTCCTCGTGTTGATAACGAGCGCGGCGCAGTTATCTCTCTCTCTTTTTGGTCATAAAGTAAAAATATTCAGACCTACCGCCGGTTCCCGGTTTACGCTACTGGTGACGAGGACGGGCATGGAAAGAGGACGTGCAGTCATTTTTCACACCCACGGTACATTGTTTGGCGCGCTGCCAACACCGCGTCCTATAAGCAGGACACACCGGAATCCGAGGAGAAATCGCATGGAGGAGGAAGAAAGGCCGCCGCCTAGGATTTGCACTCTCGAGGGACCGTAAAATGACAATGGAAATGGAAAAAGTCGATACTGCTAACAATCGCCTGTCCACTTTTGATCCAAAATCTAATTTATGATTTAATCCTTCTTTAAGGGTGTAAAAAAGTTTCGAAAAATATTTCATCACTCGAATATAATTCGAAAATTTGTCCTCTAGAAATAATAATTTGATGTCTTACCTTTGCGGCAAATGTAGTCGCCAGGTGAGAAAAGAACAGGCCGTAGTCGCAGCACCAGCTCGCACAGGAAGCCAGCTTCCGTGTTCTGAAAGATCTCGACTCTCCTCAGCGTGTCCAGATGAACGTTTATGGCGATCTCTGCCTTCAATTTATCTGCAACGCACGAGAAGCGACGAGAATATTAATGAACAAATGAATAAGAAAAATGTTCAAAGACCTTCGAGATAAAAATTCCAAAGAAAGAGAGAAAGAGAGAAAAGAGAATTTTTACCCTCCGGCGAAAATGCAATGTATGGTCCAAATAGATGGCTAAATTACGTAAAAAAGTAATACGAAGTAAAAGTTCTTTTTTTAAATTAATTTAAAAAAATTTAAAAAGTTATACGATCTAACTTTTCTATAACCACAATTTTTTTCATTATTCTACACATTTCGCGTTTGATATTTAAAACCTCTTCCGCGATACCTCTATAATGAAATTTTCGCGCGAAACAGATTGTACGGCTGCACCAGTGGAAGTTGCGAAGCGCCGAGAGATTGTTTTTGTTACGCTACGCTGCACGACAGCTTCAACTCAAACTTTAAAGCGCAAAGCCACTCTCTCTTCGAAAAGAACCGCATATGTTTTTACAAAAGCAATGTCTCATTAACCAGGCGCACTTCGTTGAACTTGACGTTCGCGACAGATCCGAGAAAAAGTTGTAACAATTAGGCGATACACATTTTGACGTCCTCGTACACGTGTTGCACGAAGTGATAGCATTTTTTTTTATCCAGGATAAAAAGTGGCCGGTAAAAATGTCGAATCGTCCGTAAATCGTTTGCGGAAACGTGCCGAGAGACACGGAGGTAAACGTTGGGCCGGGTTTTATCTCGGCTGTTCGGAAAATACTGTTTTAAATGCACGCGTCAATATTACCGCCGAAGCTAAATCAAACGAGCAACTTTTTATAGAATATTTTGTGGATTCGTGCGAACAAACGGCGAGATTGAAATTATCGAAAGCTGTCACGTTTATTAAGATTTTTTTACAAACAATCGATTTACATATCCGTCGACCTCTCTGCAATTTCGCTCAAGTTTATTACTGTAAATTATGTACACTAATTATTTCTTATTTGATTTATTCTTCGATTAAATGATACCGATGTTGACAAAATCGACTCGACTCGCCACGACAATTGCATATTTCCGCACAAATATGGTTCTGGATTGAAAATGTCATTAATAAGCGAATGCCTGATTATCCGGCTCATTGTGATAAATATTAAGTTATAAATAATTATACATTCGCACGCACCGACTCATTATTCACAAAATAAGATTTACTGACCGCTAACGATAATAATTATTTCCCTCATCAATCCTTGATTAACCAAGTGAAGCTTAGTATTGTTGCTGTTGCCGTCAATATAATTATAGCAACGTGTACGCCAGGAATTGGCAGTTAACCCAGAAGCATGTCGACTGTACAAGTGCGCATATGCTGCGACATTTCTATTGTCACGGCGTATCTATTGTTATTGCGGTAATATTGCCGCGTAATTAGCGCCAAGTTCCGCATATTAGCGCTAATCGAATTGTGATTGTGCAAGCGCGGCACATTGTAAGTGCCGAGGCGCGTGGCATTTTTCGCCACGTGTAATTTTGTCGGCGATCGATACGACCCGATATTAACGCGTAATGCAGCCTAATTGGCCGTCTCTGCGTCGGTATAATCCGATTATTATCCGCCGTACGAAAATGCGCAATACCGAGTGTTTTATAATATATGCGTAGCGTGCTGCGAGAACTGCTTCGACGACCGCGGCTGCCGGCGGACACATTTTTCGAGCGTCGCGCACTAACGCTCCCGGCGTTTCGAGTAATTAATATAAAGAAATTATGTAACAGCAGCAGTAGGGACAATAAAATTTTACCTTTTATTTGCCGCATATTGAGAGAAAGTAAAAAAGTCTCTATAAACGCAATTTAAATTTCGCAGAATATTTAATGTCGCAAAGCATTGCAAAAATTCAAACTAATTATTCGCAAGAAAATATCGATATTATGCGGAAACGTTCGGTGTTATTAGTTTTCGATATTACTTTCATAACGCGTTGTAGCCGACCGAATGACTCGCGGGAACACCCTCGCGCTATAATAGTCGGCAATTTTTCATTTCGCGCTAATATTCAATCCCCCAAGTCCTCGTTACGCCACGCGCACTTGGAAGCTTTACTATTCGCATCGTTTACTGCATCGAGAATTGTGTCATTTAGCGAAACGGTTTTCAGGTTGTTGCCCTCGTTCCTTGTTCCCGTTGTGGAAGCTCGTCCACGAGAAGAGCATTTCGCAGTGAAACAATAACGTCCCTCTTCGACAATTTATTCCCTCTTTAACATTCTACGGCCCAGACTGCGTTACCGCTACCCTCCCGAACTCCACTTCTTCATCGTTAAATAAGAGAATGACTGTGCGAGAAAAAAAGATTGCTCGCATGTATTAAAATTATAATGAGCTGCTGGACGAAAGAGTGAATGGTAAAGCGTGTTTCTTTCATTTTTCAAGAAACAAAAAGTTTCGCGAGAGTATTCACATGGAAGTATTGCAAAATGCAGTATCGCGTAAAAGCACGTAAAAGCCACTTTATTCTTTTCTCTAAGCAGAGCAATTATGAAAAAGATCTGAATTTTACATCGCGCCGTTAAGAAACGCTTGCTATTGTGGGGTGAAAAATCAGTCGATACATTTTCACGGAAGAGAAATTTGCGCGAGACCGCGAAAGCTTAGAGGGAGAATTGACAATTTTCTTTTTAGCGGGAGCTTGACTTCGCGCTAAGCACTACCGTATATCTGGCGCAATAAATTCCCGCCGTAAGTCCTCCTATGTTATCCGATGTAGTCCGTGGGTCCCCGACCCTTCGAGTTTACTTGCCAGATTCTATACACACTGCGCTTTATGTTGCATACTCGGTTTTATAGCGTTGCGAGCAATACAATCATTATTACAGTTCTTTACGGGCGTTTTAGTAGGGAATTCGTAACAATAATATTGTTCCACTCCAATAATCCGCCCGAGTTGCCGTTAACAATCGGTTTAGAAATGTGTTTCTTGCAGTTTGCGCAAGCGGTAAAAAAACGTTCGTAAAATTTATGAATACTTGCGTGCTTCGATCGGAATATCGAATACATATTGCTGCGGATCATTAATTAAAAGCAAACTCTTGTTAAAAGTTCTGAAAAATTCTGAATAAATTTATTTGTTAAAAAAGTGAACGATTATATGTATTTTTATGTTGCAAACCAATAACACATGTAAATTGACCTATTTTCGCATTCCGCTAATTAAATATGCAAAATTCATTAATTGTGCATCTTTATTGAATTACAAAGAGAAAGAGAGAGAGAGAGAGAGAGAGAGAGAGAGAGAGAGAGAAGTAAAT